CGGTCCGTAGGTCAACGCTGTTGCTCCAGCTGGCGCGGTCTATGTGATTGACGTAGCGCCGTAAAAAGGGGTGCCGGCCTACGTGCACGCAGGCGTACGAACTCCACCTGTTCCCCAGCCCTTTCCCCCCACCCCATAATAACAATAATAATAATAATAATAATAATAACGAAATTAATGATTTACTTAATGCCAGTTTACAGGCACTGTCAGGGAATCGTTAAACATGAATACGGCCAGCAGTTAAAAGAAACTCCACTGGGAAAGGAATAAAAATATAGTTAATGGTTTTTATGGTTTGGAGGGTTCAGGAGAAAAAAACTGCTGGCGACAAACTTTTGACCGTCAAGAAGGGAGGGGCTGCACGGTATCGGATAATATCAGTCGCCAATTTGTGATTAAGCTCCTGACTACCTTATTCTCTGCCTTAAGCAGCCACTTCGGCATGTGTTAAGCCGACCGAGCTGCCAACTGCCTTTGCCTGCGCCCAATGTACTTGCATCCGCAACTTCATGTAAACTCATAAATACAGTTTGATGTGGCGTGCATAGGCAAAATGTCTTTAGCTGGTCTAACTGGGATGGCCGTTTTGGTGCTTATGAACAACAATTTAGAGGCGGCATACGTCCTTTCGATTGTGCACCTGTCATGCTAACATAACCCCCAGGCTAAATTCCACCTTACCTACGCCTTTTCTTTTTCTCTTTTTAGTCCCAGTACGTCAATTGTAAGATAATAAAGTCCTGTTATAGGGTATTCTCGTTCTGACCCTTACAGCCATATTCGTTCGTCCTCTCCATCTCGTGTGCTTGCTACGGTCCTAACTACTACAGCACCGAAGGCGTCGCTTGATCACGTTTGATATGTTATCACCCTTGAAGGGGAGATAGATGGTCACCGAATTTTTTGGTACAGATATTTCTTCAGGAGTGCCTTGTTTGTAATGGCGATATTTATCGATGAATTTCTCCGGATAATCTTTTGCACAAAAAACCTTCTTTAGGAAAGTAAGCTCGTCATCGATCGTATCTGAGGAACAGATTCTGGTGGCTCTGTTGAACAGGCACAAAACCGAGTTCCGTTTTCTTTTAATTGGAACGAAAATGATGAATTGCATGTATTGTCCTTTCCAGGTGGGTTTTCGATAGATGGATTTCTGAATAGAGCCATCTGCCCACCTACGTACAAAAAGATCCAGGAAAAGCAGTGTGTAATTCTTCTCATACTCAATCGTAAATTTGATCTTTGCAAGCGTTTTGTTCAGTACCTTCAGCAGTAGTTCTCCGTCGCCTGGATTTTTGACTATGGCGAAAATGTCATCCACATATCGCCTATAGAATGAGGCTCGTTGTAAATTTCGGACTAGTTTTCCCTCTAGATTAGACATGAAAATGTCCACAAGGACAGGCCGCAATGGACTGCCCATGACTACAACGTCGATCTGTCGATACAACCGCCCGTTTAACAAGAACAGCACACTCTTTGTGCATATCTGTAGTAGTTCCCGCAGTTGCTCTGGTGGCAGGTGTGTTTCACCCGCATGCTCACAAATTATGTCAATTGCTTCATCCAGTGGCGCGTTTGTAAACAGGCTCTGCATGTCAAGCGAGATCATGCGTTTATTCAGTAGATTCTGATGCTTCAGCTCATCTACGAATGTGAAAGTATCTTTGGTAGTGTAAACGGCAAGAATGCGTCAGATTGGTTCGATTTTTTGCACTCACCATTGGACAAGTGTATGTTGAGGTGAATTCCTCATTGATAAAATCGGGAGTAATGGTACCCCTGGTGTGTGCAATTTTGGCAGTCCATATTGTCTGGGAATATGCGACCCTACAAGCCTAAGACACGCAGCCATGTTATAATAATAATAATTTATTGATTTAATGCCAGTTTACAGGCATTGTCAAATCCGACCAGCAGTGGAAAAAACTCCCGGGTTAGAGAAATAAAAATATAGTTGATGGTGGTTTACATGATTTGGAGGGCTTAGGAGAAAAAAACTACGGGTGGTAGATTTTCGACCGTCAAGAAGGGGGGGGGGAGGGTTGCACGGTATCGGAGATATTCAGACGCCAATTCCTTTCAGAAAGTTGGGGATAGTCAAAGTAGAGGCGTCGAAGAACAGCTGGCGAGACCGGCCATAGTGTTCAGAGACCACTAACGCGATCGCCACGGTAGAATCGATCAGTGGATTCAGCACCCAAAATTCATGGGAACTTTTCTGAATGCAAAAATCGGGTAATAGTTCTCTTAAATAAAGGATAATATTGCAGATTCTTCACACTCATGGTAGTTTATTCCAAATAGCAATTGCATTTACAGAAAAGAACCGACGATATTTAACAGTACGTGCCAGAGGAAGAAATAAAAAGTCCTCACGGTGACTGTAACGTCGGGGCTGGACATGATGTCTTAAAGTAGTGAGTGGGTTAAATGTGTAATTATATAAGAGTTTAAATAGCAAAAATAGTCGCTTTTGTAATCTTCGGAACCATAAAGCATCAAGGTCTGAAAGGCGGCAACGTTCTTGGTAAGACAAATGCCAGAGTTCCGGGGTTAAATCTCTCTTGGTAAAAAGGTGTTGAACGGATTCTATTTTTTTCCGCTCAGTAGCTTTCATGAGGCTAAATAAAAACAAACAGTATTCCAGTCCATGTCGAACGTACATGTCATAAAGACGCATTCTAATGTCAGTAGTTTTTAAGTTTCGGAGGAAAAACCCGGTCGTTCTACGTGCTTTGGAGACTATCAAGGCACAGTGCTCCGAAAGATTGATGCTCTTGGAGTATGATACGCCCAGCTCCTTAATAACTCCAGGCAAATTTATGGCGTGACCTTCAATGCTTAGTTGAGGCTGGCGGTCGTCGCCAACCACCATGACTGAGCACTTATGCCAAGAAAGAGAAAGGCACCATGTGCGGCACCACTGGGCTAAAGCCTGTAGGTCGATCTTTAGGAGCTCAAGCACTATGCCATGATCTGCCGGCTTATATGGATATGCAACTTTAAGATCATCGGCATACATGAAAGGCTTACCATTCTGAAATACATCGGGTACATCATTAACGAAAAGGCAAAATAAAAGCGGGCCGAGTACACTACCCTGAATGACTCCACTCCTCACACGCGTGTGGTTGGAGATAGTATTGGAAATCTTAACTCGTTGTGTACGAGTGTCCAGGTAAGAGGATATAAAATTCAACAGTTTCTCACCTATTCCGAAAGAGGACAGTTTCAAGAGAAGAAGAGCATGGTCAACACGATTAAAAACCTTAGTGAAATCGAAATACACTGTGTAAAGTGCAAAACAATTGTCCCTAGATTGGAGAACATAGTCAAAGAAGGAGAGTTGACAGGTGTCACAAGACCGAGCTTTGAGGAATCCATGCTGAGCAGCACTCAGTAGGTTATGCACTGTTAAGGGACACATAATCTTATCTCTGATCAATGTCTCTAAGGTCTTCGAAACTGCGAGGAGGGTGTGTATTGAACGAAAGTCATCAAATGACGTCGATTGGCCATGCTTGGTAATGAGCAAAACATGTGATTCCTTCCACGAGGTAGGATAAGCTTCACTTTTATTGACGAGACCAAATATCTTTTAATAAAAGGGATGGAAAAATCGTATTTGCTTTTAAAATGCTTACTCGGACACCATCAGGGCCTGGACTATAAGACTGACGAGAACGCCGAATCGCAACAGTCACATCCCACAGAGTGAAGGTTATAGTTTCTATAACTGCCCCGGTCGACCAAGGGAAGAACGGAAACGTCGTTATGAAGATGGAATCGACCAGAAAGTCTGCGCAACCTGCGACGAAAGGGTAAGGGTAGGAAAATGTAAATGTTTTGCACTACAAACTGTTTGCAGTGTTAAACTGTACGAAATTTTGGATCTGCTTATTTCTCTTTTTCACACCCGTTAGAAAATTGTTAACGTTGGGTATCCCCAACGTTAATAATTTTCTTACAGGGGACAAAACTAGAAATAAGCGGATCCAAAATTTCGTACAGTTTTGCAGTGCAAACATTGACTTCCCAACTAAGGAAGAAATCAATCCTGTCGTAGGAATTAAGGCGTGTTAATAATTCGGTTGAGCGAGTTGATCGGAAATCGTGGAAAATGCTATACTTTGGGGACAACGTTTTGTCAGCCTCGAATTCCAATGTTGAAACAACTATGTCATGGTCTGAGACCCCGAGTGGGCCAAGAGATGACAAAGACGAAGGCATGCAGCCTCTACAGAAAATCAGGTTGAGTATGCTTGATCCTCGGGTCTACAGCCCAACATCCACAGCCTCAAGAAAGTCTTCGAACCTTCTGAGGCCTCAAGGCGGAAACCAGCAGACTTCAGGGATATTAAAGCCACCCGCAAACAATTGATACTTAAAGCTTAAGTCTATCGAAGCATGAAATGCCCGTGAGAGAGAACGATCAAAATTGTCATTGACGTTGGGAGTGCGATAGACGCGGCCAACGAGTAAGGCGAACTTATTATTAGTGCAACTTGGAGCCAGGCGTATGCACTCGCTTTGGGATGCCAGCATGACCGCGAAATTAATACGGTGGGGATGTGGGACAAAACTGGCCAGCCGTCCATCTGATGCAAAGCGATCAAGCGATACCTATGTTCGTGTTCGAGAGGGTGTGTAAATTCCCTGCAGGCATGTAGGGGCGCGCGCGAACGCTACCCTTCCCCCCCTGACACTGGCGCCAACAACTGGCTGGAGAAGGTGAGCCAACTGCCTGCAGGCGTTTAGAGGTGCGTGTGCGAACGCTACCCCCACTGACACTGACGCCAACAAGTGGCGTGCGGACGTGCGTGGGGGAATGCTGCCTCGTGTTAAAGGCTACCAAACCCCCCCCCCTTCTCCAGTAGAAGCGGAATGGCTCATTTTCTCGTGCAGGCTACGCTGCGTAAGCCAATTAGACTACTAGTGTTGCATTGGCTCGCAAATCCAAATGAGCCAGAAAATCGCTAGGTTCAGGCGTCAAAATGCTATCAGTACTGCATAATGCATGTATAGGTGAACGAGGTAAGCATTTTTCCCAAAATTTGACACGAGTAATTATTTTTTAGGTCATTTTCCTCCCGAAATATGAAATTTGCTAATATTCTAGCCACGTTTTTTTCTGGCGGTCATATGTCTTTTTTTAAGCATTTTAAACTGCCCGTTCAAGGTGTTGCCGTTCCAAGCGCTAATTAGCATTCCATCAAGTAAATAATTTGTGAAAAATGCCGTAAAAAAGTAAAAAAATGTTTTCTTTAGCGTAACAAAGAAACCATGGATTCGAAGACTTGAAGCTTACCTTGTTGTATTTCGCAGAGTATTAGTTAATTTTTTCATCGGGAAATAGTCCGCGTTCTGTGTGATCAACGTAAGATGAAAACTTGAAAATATAGATTAGGAGTTTTAGTATAACACGTTTTACGACCTCTTACTATACATTTTATCGGACTCGCTTACTGGGGGATTATATGCAAACAAATCAGCGTTTTTGCTGACAGTCACATGAAATACCCTGATTATATCCGGGAAGAAGCCTCTCAAAAGACTCCAGTACCCACGCTCAGCAATTACTGTCACAGCTTTGTTCTCTGTAATTTGCTAAGGTACTTACGAAATTGCTACCGCTGCGAACATTTCTACGGCTGGTGCTCACTTAAAGGTTTTTGTCCTGCATTTATCATAGTTACCGATTTGGTAAACATAATGCAGGTGGTATTAAGCTGCGACGACTTTTGGCTGGGCGATAAGACGGTCGCTACTTGCTGTAAGGCTTATACGGCAATATCTACGCAAGAAAGTCAAACCAGTCTGTGCCTATCTGCAACTGAAATTACACTTTGCGTGTACTTAAGGCCGCCTGGTGTTGCTCTGAGACGTAATCAATAACTTTGATACATACCTTATTCATGCCCTGACTTAAACCACCAGAGGATCAACAAAGCTGGTAAGCGTTAGATTGATCGCTAACGCCAGTCTTATCTCGAGCTTTGCCAAACCTCAGAATTAGACCGAAGCCCGCAAGAAATTGTCTCGGCAACTTCTTGCCTATGGTTAAAGGCATAACTGACCCCAATGTTAAAAATAATCGTGATCATGACTGCAAGAAAAAGTGAAACTCGTAGACTGATCTTAACTCCGAGGATATGCATAACCCTTTCTGGAACCACGTCCTACCCGTCCTTGTTTCCCACAATTTAGGCTTTGCATGCAACCAATGACTGTAAGTCCATATTATAACACGAATGTAAACCTAATCTTCAAACTTTTATCCTATGCCTATTACCAATCAAAAGTTAGGATGGAAACTTGGCAGCAAGGGGGATCATTATCATAGCATTCAGTTCTACGGCTTATCTAAATTGCAATCCTATAATCGATTATTTTGACATAGTTTCTTACGTTCAAAGGTGACGGTGGCACAGGAGAAGTAATGCAGCGGATAGTCTAGTCAACAAAGGAAATCGGGCATACAGTTCAAGCTACTAATGGCTTTCCTTTCGCAGACGATGTTGCCAAACCTCAGGACATTTTCTGCTCTCACCACTGTAAATGCTGAAACCAGCTCACGAATTGTTCTTGGGAATGTTAAACGATCTTTCTATCAAGACTGATCAGGAGCTGCCAGTAGGAAGACCGTTTGTCCTACTGAGCCGAGTGCAATAGCAAGCGAGGAAGGTGATATTGCCTTTTGACGTCCAACTTATAAAATCACCAATGTCTGGAGATATTTCTTTATATTCGGGCACATAAATTACAGTGAGAAAGTGGGCTTTTCGGTGAAGACTGCATTGGAAAAGTATGTTGCGTGCTGTTAAGCAGCACTCCTTCGGGAAGATAGCCATCCTAATGGATCTGATTTAGAAGTGCAGGCAGGTGAACTTAAGTTGGTAGGCAAAGATTTAACGCCGGACACTGAAGACGGCATGATATCGTATGTTTGTGCGAAAAGCGATATCTGCAGCTTACAATTTAGCGCTTAAGCGGTTGAATTGAGCATTTTTATACTGCTCGTCAGAAAATCGGTTTTTGCTGGAACCAGCATCGTATTAGCCGACCTAACGGGCCAACATTTACCGCCGATGAGCTACAAACGGTCCCTGCAGGCCGTTCGAAGAGCATTGCTTACCCTGTAAAAGTGTACTGAAATCGATTCAAATCAATTCTTCGCAGTGATGAGCCGCTGGATTTAAGAAGCATAGGAACGCACGACGAAGATAGACAGCGCTTTTTGAAAACTCCGTTATGAAAGCAGTCGAAAATAAAAGATGCATGTCATTCGTACGAAGCTTTTAAGACACGCCTAAAGTCTGGAAACAAGGCCTATGTGGAACAATAATGCGGTGAAAATTCTGGCACTCTTAAATCTTGCGTGGTGGAGAGAGGGTTTTGAAGTGCAGGTGGAAGGGTAGGGCAGTTGAAGGGCTGCGGTGTACAAACTTAGATTGAGAATAATTTTGCGTTTAGAAGCGGCCGCTTGAAAAATAGCTCTGTTTCACCAATTTTGGTGGTACATCTGGGAATCTTTTTGTATGAAAAAGCTGTGATGACAGTGCCTCATATATTATAAGAAAAGCTTTAAAGGACCGATAACTGTCCAGACCCTAGCTACTCAGGTACAGGTTGCGCAGAAGGGAACGCAACACTCAGCAGTTAACAATTAATTTCAGTGGAAAAAGCCTTTGTAAAATGTGCACCTCAAGTTTGCTTTTCGTTGATTTATTACGGTTCAATGGAGGACGGGATCTATTTCTGACCAACTTATGGTCTAAAGTTGTTTTTTTTTCACCAATGGATCAATCGGCCGGCAGTGGGACGTACTGATATCGCTCAAAAAGTATGAAATCCAGTCCAAAGACTGTGGCCACTCATCGGAGCACGTTTTGCACTTGATGTATATTCCCCTTCTCAGGGTAGTCAACGTGATGTAAGTTAGAAATATGGCTTAGTTTACAGCCTGCGAATAAGCGAGTTCTCTTCTTTGTAGTTCTTGTCCTTTTTCACGGGTGAGTACTAACCCTTCTTCATGCTTTCGGACCGCTCCACAGTATAAAGACATGCAAGTTTGTCACTAATTCGGCTCTACTTAGGTATGTTTTCTTCCGTTTGGGGACATTCTAAATCGTTTGGGCAGCCATTTACCAGTCTGTCATGCATTTCTGTTACGATGATGTGATTTCAGTTCTAAACATTCGGCCATACGCCGACGAAAGAAGTAGACCTGACGTTTGACCGAATACTTCCTGGTTGTGCTTTCATTGGTAGCTCTAGAAATATGCCCTCATTTGATGAGCCGAAGTTCACCAATGTAATTATCAATGAACCCTGACCCTAATGCCCCCGTACTAGCTACATTCGAAGTATACAAGGGCATCAATGAATAATTATTAACCTGTAATAATACCGCATTTGTAATGCAGAATAAAAGAGGGTTGAGAACGGCATCCTGGAAAATTTCCAGTCATGCACGTGGAATGGAGCCGAGACAGACATAGTGCAAGAAATTGGGGAGACGAGGGACACAACCCTCGCTTCTCACTCTTCCTTTATGTAAGAAACTTGCGAAGACGACAGAAAGAACCATTGTGAAAACACTGGGCAGGCGTAGATTAATGCGCTTTACACATTTCTAAGGGGAGCAGCTATAATTCAATATTATGATTGGTTTGGAGGTTTATTCGCAAACAGGGTAAGTTTAAAAGTTGCGTACTTTAAACTCTATGCAAAATTTTACTCCAATTCTTAAATATTGCCTAACACTTATAAATCCTACGACGGCCATTTATAAGCAAGACACATATATTCGTATACTGCACATAAAGGGACTGATTCAAAAGTGCAATTAATGTTCGAGGCACAGTGTTAAAGCCTACTCTCGCGGCTCTTCTAAAATTTAAGTCTTCTTGCCAAAATAAGATGGCACGTATGTTTTCGTCCGTTTGGGGACATTCTAAATCGTTTGGGCAGCCATTTACCAGTCTGTCATACATTTCTGTTACGATGATGTGATTTCAGTTCTAAACATTCGGCCATACGCCGACGAAAGAAGAAGACGTGACAGTTGACCGAATACTTCCTGTTTGTGTTTTCATTGGTAGCTCTAGAAATATGCTATCATTTGATGAGCCGAGGTTCACCAATGTAATTATAAATGAACTGAATTATCCTGAGAAACAATTAAGCGAATATGTTTCCTCGTTAGGTGGTTATATCGCTGTCACTATGTGTACCTCTAATGTCCCACTGTTATTTCTTCGGGACGCAGAGTGGTAGAGTTGAAATTATCTGGTCTCTTGTAGGACACCTTTGAAAAGTGCTGAAAGTTTATTTTTTGTCTTCATTTTCGCCAAAACGTCCGATAGACTATATCTAGGAAATAGAAGTCGGTATCAATTAAACGATTGATGTGTAGTTAATTTTTTCAATGTGTTTTAACCTTCCATTAAAGTCACATGTTGCTATACGGTGAGATGTTACCGGAAATGTTCTAATCGGAATGTAGTAAAATTAGCAACCAACTATTTTGCGACTATTTTAAAGTTCCATATACTGGCGCGTAGGGCATTTCCTAGTGCAATTTTTTTCAAAAAGGCAAAAGTATCAGTGTCAATCGGACTTTTGTGGCTTGTAGGCGACCTCCTGACGTTCCTTAGGGACGCTGCTGAAAGCACAACGAACCTTATTGAAGTGCTCGAGAGGGCGCGTGGCGAGTTCGTTAAAATACGTAATGATTGCCTCATAGCATCGACTGTGGGAACGTCAGCCTCAACCTTAGGAACCGTCCTGTCCGTAATCGGATTGATTGGGCTACCGATTACTCTCGGGGCTTCGTTAGCACTGACTAGTGTTGGAGCGGCAGTGTTGACTGCGGGCGCGGCTACACGCATTGGAACAGACGCAGTGCGTGGTATTATGAACAAGTAAGTCGTCCTCTCGACTTTGAAACGTCTAACTCTTTAAAGTTCATTCAAATGGTAATTGCCCTGGTTTAATACATGTCATCGGCCTAAGTCAGTACTTGTAAGGCTCTGTGGCTACGCAGTTGTGAATAATTTTTTAAAATGGATTTTAATTTTATAACTCCTGCCAACTCGAGAACGGAATTCGTTTCTATTTGTTTCTATGAGTTCCCAGGGGTCGGCATATGAGATCCACATACACGCAGAAACAGTCACCGCTTCGGATTCGATAAATGACAGTGGTCCATTTCTTCTTCAGAATTGGATCCTTTTCCTGAGATTATGTTGTGCGAAAGTATAGCGCTAGCTTGCTATCAGCACGGATAATGAGAAAACGTTTCCTGTCGAGATCATCAGAAGTTATTTGAAAAGCCTCATATCTCACTACAGTAACTGATATTAATAAAAAAAGGATGCTGGTTGAAGAACAGCTAGCTACACTTGCGAACCTTGTAGTTCGTGACTCCAACCCGCCGCAAGATTAAGCGAATAGAGCAAAGTGGAATTACGGCGATTGTAAGCATGGTCATACTTCAGATATCGTTGTCCTTACAGTTGTTTGCTTTAGGTGGGTTTTGTCTTTTATGATTAGGAGCAGCAGTTTCCGACCTTCAAAGCCTGTGATTCTCGCATTACCTGAAAAGGCACTTGCAGATTAAATGCGAATGACAGACGCTGCCACAAGGAATGTAATAACGGAACAGGGAGCCAATTCCCAATTGGAAACCTTCTTTCTCTTTCGGCCTATAACATGTAGAGGTAAATTTATGGTACTCCCAAGTGTGTCGAAATTAACCTCTCATGTAAGGCAATGAGTCTTGACTGTGAAGTACTACTAATGCATAATTTTCGGTTAGCGTCGATTTAATTCCCCCGAATCTTATTCCTAGTTATGTGTTCTCAACACGTGCATCTCTGACACTAGTTCTTTTCGTGAAAAAGGTCCTTAAACCTCACCAATCGAAAAAACGCAAGAAATTCTTATGGCCGAGGTCGGGTAATAGAATGGTCCTTGTTCTCGCTGACGAAGGTCATCATCACGGACAATACTGTCTACATCCTATTCGCAGCATAATTGACGTAAACATGGAGCGTAATTGTCAAATAAAATCTGACTACTTCGCTTGACCGCCATTCGTGAGTGCCGACAATCATATTTTTTCTCCCTGTAATACCCACTGCGTCCAGGTATGTCTCTTAAGAATACCTAAACTGGCACTCCTTAGTGGACTCTCCAGTGTCAGAGTCTATCTTGAAAAGCATCAGTATAAAAGGTTTTTCGAATCTGAGGATAAAAGTGTTTTCATGAAGAACCGCGAAGCTAAACGACTACATTAGACGCTGGATAATGTATTCTCAGGCATAACATTCACTCCCAAAGAGGCGAGATAAATGACAAAAACTGTACGATGGGGACCTCACAACATCTTTTATACGAAAGACCGTGATGCTGAAACTGTCCCTCACTACGGAAGCAACCATCCTGCACTGCACAAAAGAATATGTCTCAAAATCCTCTTTTCAGCTGGCGTTTCAGACATAAGCAGTGGCGGATTGACTTAACTAACAGATGGTCGCTCAGCTTCATGGAAATTTGTCGAAGACGTCAAACACAATCACAAGATCCCAGGTCCAATAAATAAAGTGCGTCTCGTAATCCCTGTCTCATATGCAACGATTTTCTGG